CCATGTAGTACACCAGTCTTATATATATATATATATTGTATATAAACAGTCATTTAGCAGGAATGATGCCCAATTTCCATGATGCACAGCCATTGGATAAAGATTCTACAAATCTGTATTTAAAGCTATGCTCTGGCCAAAAAGATAATTTATGCACCGCGCTGGGTGTGTAAATTATCATTAAAAGCTGAGTGTTCTGTTCAGGGGGGCTGTTCCAAACTATAAAAATCTTACCTTGCAGCACGATGTCCCCTGCACACAATGCCCAGCTTCCGGGCACTAAAGATAAGGAGAGTAATAACTCTAGCGTACAGCGCTCCAGTCACATCACCTGCCTCTCTCCCCTATCCTCCATTCAGAAAATAGATGAAAGTAGTCACTCGCACTCCATAATATTAAAGTCAATGCTGTTTATTGACTGAGATAACACACATCTCCTTAGCGAAGTTTTGAGACCATGCAGCCCCGTCCTCTGTTTGCCTGAGGACAGGGCCGCATGGTCTCGAAACGTTGCTAAGGAGATGTGTGTTATCTCAGTCAATAAACAGCATTTACTTTAATATCATGGAGTGTGATTGACTACTTTCATCTAGCTACATTTCACGGAGGCATCCATTGTCACCACCGCACCCACCCATTTGGATTTGGGTTTTTGTCCGGTCAGGAGTGCGATGGGACAGGAGGATTGAGTTTCTATTCAGAAAATGTCTTGTATTTTTTTAAAGAGGGAGGACAAAGGTGGATGGGGTGGGGATGTGATATCTCTCCTCCTCCAGTCACAGATTTTTTTTTGAATTACAAGACATTTTGTGAATGGAGGAGAGGGGGGGGGTGCTGCGACCAGAGCGCTGCACATCATGGGATGCATTTCTCCCTCTCTTCGGAGTCCGGGCAAGATTTATAAACTTAAAAGCAGCCCTCTGCATGTAACACACAGCTTTTAATAATAATTTACACACCCAGTGCAGTGTGTAAATTATTTTGCCCGGAGTGTGGCTCTAACTACAGTCATGATATATGGCCCAGTGGACAAGTAAATATTTGATTATCATGTGTAAAAGTACTTTCTAATATAGGAATACTGCTTTGGCTTCATGGTAAGACAGAAGAAGGGCTACATCATCATAAGAGGTTTTTATTTTTAAAACTGGCCACCTTGGATGCTTTTTATCCATTAATACCAAGAGGTTAAATCATTTCTGTTTTACACTGGGACCAAGATGACAATGGTGTTCAACTCCTGACTGTATTGATCATCATGCTTTTAATACTTCCATTGATCTTTATTTGAATATTCTTGGCAGTTGCACGTTTTAATGCTGCATGCTTTGGAACAGCAGTCTAATAACACCAATGCTATTAAAAGAAGGGAAGCCTGCTTTACTTGATGGTTAGGAATTAAGAGATACATGCTCGAGCAGTAGTGCCTTCAGAGGTCTACAGGAAGCAAACTTTGAGCCATATACAGATTAATTTAGTATCTGAGTGGTAAAATTGTCACAGCAACTAAGAGTCCTATCTTTCCAGAAAACAATTCAGCTATTTCATAAAAACACGTATTAACTTGATGCATTGGCAGATTGTTGTGAAGACAAGACTTTGGATATAAGTGCAGTCAAGTTGACTTTCTTGTTACGGAAATAAGGTCTGCTTTACTAAAGTATGAAGTTCTATTTTATTTTTCAAATACCCCTGGATTTGATTTGTTATTTAAAGTGCATCCTTCACTTTACCTCACTTTATAGTCTAGTAAACCAGGCTTGTAGAGTTCACATTAAATAAGTTAGATAATCCTACTCCAGTCCTGTTACTGTGGTAGAACACACAAGGCAAGCAACCTAACCATTATAGCTCCAGAGACCCACGAGCTACAAAAACTACTTACAAGGTCCTATGAGCACATCTACATGGAGCCTGAATGCAGAATCCACTATAGTTTGGTATACATCAATGTCAACACTCCGTGACACTCTGCTTAGTGCTGGAGGTACCTCCAATGAGTTACATTAGGTGCCTATTCATGCCAGCAGCATTAAACTGCTTTGCCAAACAGTCCTGGTGCAAAAACAAGGCCGTTTTCTTTATGTCCTATGGTTTCAAGTTCTAACCAAAGCGATGCATTGGTGTGTGCTGAAAAAAATGATGTATAGTAAACTTGCTGTACATGCAAAAGAGTGAACCTTTATGCTCATTTGCATAAGAGCCTTTAAAAAAAAAAAGAAAGTAACACAGAGGCCATACAATAGGCACCATAAGGTGTCTGCTTGTACCTCTCAGTGCCACTTGCCACCTTAGATCTACTGCTGCTGCTTCCTTACTAAAATTACGAAACACATGATAACTTTCATCATTTGTTTTTTATCCATATTCCTCCATTATGACAGTAGTTTGGCCTGGGCTACTAAGCCAATGAGCAGCACATTGAGGGAGGCAGGGTGGAAGGCACCACTTAGATCCAATATCCTAAAATACTGGGTGCACAATGTCTGTGTACAGTACAGAGTTGCTTTAAATTTAATCAATACCTGATTTTTTTTTAGCTCGGTTTTGGTCATAAAGAATAGATATTAGAATGAAAATATGTCCAGATGATGTTCTTACCGTTATTGTATAGGAAGTACAAATATAAATCTTGTGTGATAGTTATATGTTGACATATTTGTGTGCAAATACATTTTCATATAAACGATATGCTCAGATGTTTGAAGTTTACATTATACAGATTACTTATGAAGTTAGAAAGCAAATTCAAGGTATGTTTATCATTCATTTCCATTTACTGCATTCAATCTGAAATCAAAAAACTGAAATGTAGTTCCTATTGGAACACTTTGAACTTTCTTAATAAATAAACATAGGGCATATTTTTATGTCTCATGATATCCAACTGCACATAACAGTTTTATAATGGTTTTCTTTTGTTCTGTAAGAAAATGGAACTTTGGAAAAAGAGCTAGCTTATCTAAAAGCAAAATGGTCCAAGTTGAGTGTCTTCCAGAGTTGGTTGCAGCGTGTGAAGGCAAAGAAGATATTTTCACTTCTGTTGTAGAGCAGGAACTTCAAGTTGCACATATTTCACAGGTAAGCTTTCTATTTCCTTTGCAGTGAAACGAAACTATGGAGTAGCTTACAGTTCTCACTAGGGGCAGTGTAACAATTGCTGACTGATCTTTTGAGGATGCAGACATGTTCTTTTTCTGAATAAAGAGATCTAATTTAGCTCAGGAGTAAAATAACTTATCAGTTCAGAGTTATGCTGCTTTGCTGCTTTGCTGCTACTCCCAGTATTAAATTGTATATGAAATAGGGTGATCTTTGAACAACACCAAAAAGTTGTGTGGATAACTGTGAATATTTTTCCTTTTTACTGATTCAGTATGTACCACAGACTACTCATAGGTTTTTATCTCAAGGCTTTTCCACACATGAATAAGTATAAGAGTTTACTCGCAACTTATATGCCCCAGGTTACAAGTTAATTGGATTGACCTAAACGGCGACATTGATTCTTCAAGCCCTTTAGCAGCCACCAGAGCCTGAATAGATTTGCTGTACGGAACAACTCTAATATAGAATAAGCACACCTGCCGGAATGTCCTTTTTCCAAGTTTCAATGATGAACAGAAGTGGATCATGTGCTGTGACTGTCTTTTTTTACCTTTTCTGTAAAGAAAAGGGTATAATTGGTACACATCACATTGAGAATTTCTAGCACTCAATTATAATACTTTCAGACATAGGAGGCCCCTTTGTTCATCCCTGCATGGCCCAATAAACATTTAAGAACCATGTGATGCTTATATTGGTTGCAGTGCTTGCTGTATTTGGGTTGAGTACTAATCCCCTTACTGCATTCTAACTCACAATAAGATTTTTTCAGTGTGCAAAGGAGTAATGTGCAGTTGCATGCGGTAGCTAGTTAGATATCAGCTTTCATCTTTTTACTGTTTTCGGAAAACTTAAAATGCTTTTTGCTGTGTTCATGGAGGGTTACTCCACTCTACACATTTTTCTTTTCTAATAATGACCTATGTGATTTTAATGAAACATTGATGGCCTTGAGATCCAATATGGGGTGTAAGCATTTTGGTTTTGGAACTGTGAAAAAAAGTGAGCAGGGGTTTTGGAGTGGAACTCTAGCTTTTAGCCTGTTGAAATCACCATCTTTACCCAAGCATTTGATTGAGGGTGCCCCTTCATGCCAAAGTGGACTTGTCTGTAGGTTTGGGGTCATATAAGAACCCAGTAGCTTGTGGTGAAACTGGGTTCCTGGTGTAGGTTTTATCTTGGAGGCTAAAGCCTGGAAGTAAAGAATGGAACTCGGATGAGGGATGATGTTTCTCAGCTTGAAGCCTAGGCGTCTTTTTTTGCTTGGGTAGATGAATACTCCTACCTCCAGTAAAATCCTTGAGGACAGTGTCCAATGCAATCTGAAGAGTCATTCAGCCTCAAAGGGCAAATGCTGCAAACACTTTTTACATGCCTGCTCTGCAGACCAACATTTTAACTAAAGAGTTCTCCACATTTTCACTGATAGGAGATACATATGGGAAATTAAACAGGACACTTCCAGTAAACCCTTCAACAAGGTTGGTGTACTAAGGTTTGGCAGGTTAACCTTATGACTATGACAGGTTGCACTGCAGTGCCTTCCGGGGTAAACAAGGTTTTGGAGTGTGACTCCAACAATTTATTTATAGAATCCTTAGATAGTGCCCATCCTAAAGGAGTTGTCACAGCTTTATAAAGACAGGACACTGCCACATCAACTGCAAGAACAGATCACATCTTAAAAAAAGGACTCCTCAAATGGATATTGGACCGCAAGATGTTTGGGAGGTGTACACGATTTTGTCAAGAACAGCTCATTGCTCTGGGGTCCCTGAAAACCCCATCTCAAAAGTCATATGCTTTCATTCCGGGTCATAGGTTCAGAGGAGCCAGAGTGATGAGCCAGTGAGATCTCTCTGCATTTCTGGCAGAAGAGGAGCAGTACTGTATGTGACTGTCTATAGACAGCCTGATACAGCTGCATGGCCTCTTTGTTGCCATAGTGCGAGTGAAACCAATGCACACTGTCACTATGGCATAGAAAGAAGTCCAAGAAAAGGTAAGTGATCCACTTTTATTTTATATATGTAGTTTTTCTCCACTAAACAACCAGTGATTATTAGTGAAAATGTTTCATATTAGGGCATTGGGTTACAATGTGAGCAAAGTCTCGTATTCTGTTGTTTCATTGTGCCATATTAGGGCACTAAATTATATTTAGACACTTTGTGATATTATATTCTGGCACATTTTTACATTGCATTATGTTATATTTTGGAGATGTGATTGTATGTGGGAATATGCTCATGGTCTCTATTATATTATAAAGTGGGCTCTGTTGTACTCTTGCAGTGGCTAACCTGTGTTTTGTATCATAGACTGCCATATTGTGAAAGAGACATTTTATAATAAGCTTGTAAGCTAGGTCAATTTTTCTATGTAGTATTGGTCATTTATTTTATATTGTCATAACCATATATTTTGTTATAAAGTATTGCATATACTGTGCACTGGTTTATATTATATTGCTATGTCAATGCCTGCATAATATTTTACGTCCTTAAAAACAAAACCAAAAGAGAGAGAGTGGAGGGGCTGTGTTGGGGAGGGTGGAGCGGTGCTTATGAGGTGGGGCAGGAGACAACAAAAAACCCTTTACACACACACACATATATATTATAAATTTTCAGTGTCTGCCAAGACCATGCCCAGGTAGTATTTGATTATAATTGCCCCTTGCAATGCGCATCTCTACTTCAGCACAAGAAAAAAAGGCATACTATTTGATGGGCATGGCTCAGAAGTCATTTTGGGCCTACAATTTGGAAAGCACTTAGGAGAACTTGACAGACCATGTGCTGTGCATGACTGTGGCACATCACAGAACGCAAAGCTGTGGTGTGCATACTTGGGCCCAGAAGAGAAAATCCTTGTTGGTAGACTGAGATGTTTGCGGCTGTGAAGCTAGAGTACCGTACAACTGTTAAACTGTTAATGGCTGAATTTCTCCACCTTGTGCTAGACCTCCCCTAACCCAGGAGAGCGTAGTATAGAACTGCTGTCTAAAAGGTATTGTATACAACAGTAGGTGTTCTGTTGTCAGTGCAAAGATAAGATGTGCCATGGCCTGCATTTTCCCCACCTTTCTGCTTGAGTAGTAAATAGGCGCTAGATCAAAATCCTCTTTCACTGTTATACTTGTTACCTAGTGAATGAGGCATGTAGGGGGTCATCTGTGTGTTGCATAACTTACTGTTGCTCTAAGATTTTCTACAGTAGAGAGACTCAAGTAAAATAAGTCAGTGAATGCCGGTACCAGGGATCAAATGGGACAAAAGAAACCTCATCAGTTCGCTAACATCCCAACTGCCAACCTGGCTATTAATTTTCACAGTTAGAACTGTAACTCTTTTACCTAGAAGCACCTTCACCATGTAGTAATTGTATGTGTTTTTAAAAACTAATTTCCATTGCTCAACTTTTTCATATTAGACCTTATAAATGTTCTCAAGAAATTGAATTACACAGACTGAAGCCACATTCATTTAGATTTCATATGGAAATGGTATTCATATTTAACTAGGCTTGTTAACCAACAAAGAACCGAGTTTATGGCTATCCACTTCATTAGGTGCTTAATATGATATTGCTTATACTCATTAGGATGTTGTTGCTACACATTGAAATGTTTTCTCCACAGACTATTATGTGCTTTCCATTAGGAGCAAGCAGTTTAATCTAGAACCACTTTATCCCTTGAGCGCATGAGGTTCAAAGCGTCATCATATATACCACCTACATTTATAAATGCAAAAGTTCCATCAATTGTTGTTTATGGTTACTTGTGCTTTTATTTGCATATTGTCAGCTTAAAAAAAAAAACAAATGTAGTCAATGTTTAATTATTTTTATTTAATCACAAGATATCAAAATGTACATACATTGAGGAAGATTTATCAAGCAAGCCACCAACAAAATCAGACACCAATGAAACAAATTAGCAAAAGATTTGTGACAAGTCTTTATGCCCTGGAGGCCAAGGCAGTGCATTGAAACAGTTTGCAATGATCTGCAGCACATTTACCACTGAACTTGCAAATGTTTTTCTTTAAAACACATACACCCTTAAAGTACATGTGAGTGCACAGCTACATAGACACTTGGTAATGAATTCCAGACTACACAGTTGCTATACTATCAGTTAGTTTAAAAAAAAAAGTTACCTTTCTTTGAGCTTTTATTGTGTGACCATGTGACCAAACAACATTCTGTCCATCAAGGCAGGGCTGAGCGGGAGCGTCCAGATAATTGCATCATTTACTCACACGGTTTTGTATGGATGTTTCTCCTGCACTCCTTTCAGCGTCTGGAACCAATAGTTATTGTGGTGCTCGTAGTGATAGACACGGATGGGGCCGTGTATCTTCAAATTCGGACAAGAAGAAAATCACAAGCACTCGAAAATTATTGTTTTCAGATCCTGCTGATCGTTTATTGATGTCACTGATTTACTGATCGTTTATTGATGATCAGTAAATATATATATATATACAGTGGGGCAAAAAAGTATTTAGTCAGCCACCAATTGTGCAAGTTCTCCCACTTAAAAAGATGAGAGAGGCCTGTAATTGGCATCATAGGTAGACCTCAACTATGAGAGACAAAGTGAGAAAACAAATCCAGACAAATCACATTGGCTGATTTGGAACAAATTTATTTGCAAATTATTGTGAAAAATTATTTACATCAATAAACGATCAGCAAGATCTAAAAACAATATTTTTCGAGTGCTGGTGATTTTCCTCTTGTCCGAATTTACTCACACGGGGAAACTTCACAGTTCTAGCCTGGAGCAGCTGAGCAGGGAGCATGGCAGATAAACCGGCTATGAAAGATATACGAACACACCGAACATGGCATGGCATCCTGTACTTCCGAAAAGCAATCTCTGCAACGCAAGCACAGATCTTCTTCCGTGCTGTGTGCGGTCAGTTTACATCAAGGAAGTAAAAGGACTGGCAGGATCAACC